AAACTAATTAGCCCTCACCTATAAACATAAGCTATTAATTTGAATATAAGAATGAAAATAAGGTTGACAATTGCGGTATAAAGTCCAACATTGGTGCTCATATAATCCACACATTCTAATCAGTCTTAGAATCAATGATTCGTTTTAGTTCAAATGGTAAATGTGAATTGTAGCTCTCATTGGTCTAATTTTTGCTATGATTGAAAAAAATTCAGGAACAGGTAAATTCCACAATAGATCCACATGGCGAAGTGGGGTTTCCTGATGCATGATACTGTTTAAATGATTTTTTAGGGGAGAATTAAGAGCAATGCAAATAGCACTAAAAAAAAAAAGATTGTAGAGGAGCTAGATATGGGCAACGCAAAGAGCACTCAAGAAAACTAGAGATTGTTGAGGTGTGAAGTATTATGCTTAATACCATATCAAATAATTAAGAGTATGTTTGCATAAAAATATCCAGTAATTTTTCTGCACTCGTGGGCTTGCTTTTGGGTTAATAGTGGATTTGATCACCATTGAATCAACCACAACTTCGATACTCCTTTGATTCCCACTTCATCTCATATAAAACTATTATCATCAAAAGCAAATTCATCATCATCGTTGGAGGAATCAACACCTATCTATTAAATCAAGGCAAGACACGTACATTACTAGTTGGTGGCTTAAAGGATAAAAGCGCACCTAGTCACACCTTAGTAGAAACACTCATCTAAGAGATTATAAAGGTATTGTGGCCTACATATCACATTGATCGAGGTGATTTCTTATAACAAGGCTCTGAAATGGGATCAAACTCATTCAAAAAGCTTCAATAGTTGAAAAAAAAAATGTTTTACAAATGCGAATACCTTTCCTTCCAATCATTCCTCAAGCATCAGACAAAATTAATAATTGACTTTTTATATTATATTTAGTTATTGGCTGAAAGTACCGCCAAATTAAATTAGTTTTGCTACACAATTGGATTTCAATTCTATCAATGAAACTTTTAGTCATTCAGTTCAGAAGTAATGCATTTTCCATAGAAAAGTATAGATAGATCAGGAAGGATTTTTATGCTGGGAATGAAAGATAAATCTAAAAAAGTTTCTAATAGTTAAGGTTAATGCAAATGATTAAGAATATATAAAATTATCAGGTGATCACTGAGGTGGAGCTCACCTCGACCTTCTTTTCCAATACATTTTGTGCATCTATTTTGCATTATATTGACTGTATATTCAATCCATAAAAACATGCATATTGATGGGATATAATAGAGCAGATGACTAGGATGGAGAAGGTTTGGACTGGCCCATTCAATTGAGTTTAATTGCATTCAAAGTTTTTATTGAGGTGTCTTTTCTAAGGTAAAGCTTCGAGACATTAATCTAAAAAACAATAAACTGTACAAAGTATTGCACTAACTTTGAAGTATAAAATAATAAGTAGTATATTAACATACTAATCTATTATCACCTTTAAAAATAGCAAATTAATATCCTAACATAATAAGAAATAATAAATTGATATCTTAATATCTAATTGTGAATTAGTAATAATTGTTATACAATCATTAAAATAATATAAAATATCAAAATAAATTATAAAAACATAATAAATCAAAATAAATTCAGCACAATTAAACTCCTCACACTCCTACTGCCCTCCACCAAAGTAAACTCATAATAAGCCATATATTATAATTTCTAAATTTAAAAGTTTTCATTATTATCATCAGTCAATGGAACTTCGTTAGAATCACAAGTAAAATAAATTACTTTCTCCCCTAACTCATCCTTAGTTGTGTTCATGTTCTCCCATTCCTAGTCCTCAACTTCAATTTTAATCAGCTTCATTTTCCTTGATCAATAATAATTAATAAAAATATCAATTAAATTAGTAAAACAATAATTACATTGATGGTTAAAACTTCAATTATATAATTTTTCATGGATATTTCTTCTGCTTAATTCTTGCGAGCTTACATTAAATTTATTGGCCTTACTTCTATCCCCATTAAAAAAAATTCAATATTAAAATCTTTTTGTTCCAAATCAGATGATTTTGCTTCGTTGTGATCATTCATAAATGATTCAATATTAGATAGCACGTTAATACAAATTAAAGGTCTTTGTCATCCGTTAAAAGTTACTTTTTTTAATCAATATCACTTGGTCTTTGTTATAAATTATATAAGTCAAGAAGTTCATCCTTAAGATACTCAAATGATTTCTCCGTTTTGTAGGTATTTCAATTTCTCTCACAATAAAATAATGAGCATAAAAGTCTTAACATGTTAACAATAAATTGTTATAGATGGAGTGCCATTACAAAATTAAGTTTTACATTTAACTAAATTAGATAATAATCATAATTAAATTGGGAGAATCATTACCTCTTTCAACATACCATATAAAAATTTACCTAAAGAATGTTTTGCAACTGTACCTTTCGCTTGTTGTAGCCCACAGAATCATTTCTTATTTTTTGAACGGTACAAGTTGCATATCAATCTTAGCTTTCTTAGTTGAGTCTACTATCAATCTATCTATATAATGATATAAACCTATTTTGATCTCAAGATGGAATGATTTAATTTTAGTGTATTAAAGCTATGGATTAAGGCAATATTCTGCTACATGCAAATAACAATGAAGATGAAGCCCTAACTTCTCACTAATAATTTCCAATATCTCCTTTTAGTCGAACGCATCTGTTATGTTCAAGGCTATGAACTCCTTAGCAATATTAATTGCATTATAAATTAAGCTAATAGCTGATTTAAGCCGATTTTAGCTGATTTTTTCTATTAGCCAACCATTCTTAAAATTTGGCTAATGTATTTATTGTTATTATTACATAGCTAACACTTAACAAAAACATTTCATTTAGGACAATCTTTCAAACTTCTTTTCCCTCAACTTTCTTCTCCCGAAGCACAGTCAAGCAATTGTCTTGAAGTGATCATATCTACATGAATCTGACTTTGCAAAACATTCTATAATTCAGGATCATTCTCTTTAATGATAAGATGAATTGTAGTTACAATCAAAATTTATCTCATGCTGAGTCTGGATATATATTTATTATAGATTATGTATATGAACAGGAATTTATACCTGGTACGGCTGTGAATATAGCTCGAAAATTATTAATCACTCGAAAATTCAATCGAATTTTCGATCAAATCGAGATCAGATCGAAATAATCGAGCCAAGCTACGAGCCAAAATTTTGGATCGATTTTTTTTTTAAGCAGACCCCAGCTCGGCTTGAAATCGGATCGTTAACAGTCCTAGTGATGTTAGGGCTGGATTTAACGAATTTAGATCAAAGATCGTTAACGCACTTGAAAATTAATTAGAATTTTGGCTCGGATCAAGATCGGATAGAAATAAACGCACCAAGCTACGAGCCAGAATTTTGCGATGAATTTTTTTCGAGCCAATTTTGAGCCTACCCCAACTCGGCTCGATCAGATGGTTACCAGCCCCTAATACCTGGTCAAAGGCTAGAATTGGAGATTGAAAGCAAAATAAGCATGAGGGAAAGTTGTGATCAGAATTGCTGATGCAGATTGAACCTAAACCTTAATGTAGAGAACAACAGTCATTCCTAAATAAATAAAATGAACAATTTGAAATGACTGCTTCCAATGAACTCTATATTGATATTGATCGAATGATGAATGCCTAGATTAATGCCAGCTTTACTTTTGGTTTATGGTTTAATGACATACAAGCTCACAGATGTCAGCATTTTAAAAATTTTGTTAACAATAAAATCTTTAGAAGAATCTTGAATTTAAAAGACGCCTTAACTCATAAATTCTAAAGGTGCATAGTTCATCAAGAATCATATTTAAATAACTTGAATTAATTTTTTTTAAAGAAATCTGTCCATACAAGATAGCATAATTGTGTGATTTATTTACTAGCAGTAGTATTAGCATTCCATTAGTTATAAGTCCTCATTAGCATTATTTAGCTTGCATATTAAAATTTAAGCATTTCATTATGTACTAGATATCATACTAGTTAAATGCTTGACTTGCCTGATGATTGGGAGGAAATTCATAGAAAACTTGAACAAGAAAAATGTAAAATTTAAACTTGGTCATAAGATCATCCTACGTTTTAATCCATAAAGACTTTCATAAACAGCCATTAAGGAGGAAAACAAGATTAGTTAAAAATATGCAATACACTGAAACTAATGCTTACAAATTGGAAATTCCATAAAATTCTAAAACAAATCTGGTTACTTATGAATCTACATTCAATCCTCTACTTGATAATTCTATAAAGCTTGCTTATGAGGCTAATCAAGACAATGAGATTATATACAATGTTGATGATAGAATTTTTTTTAAAAAAAAAATCCTTATTTAAGGGACAGACAGATCGATTTGTGATGATTCATTGACCACTTTCAATGGAACACATATTTTATATTCTAATTTGCTCGATAGGAATCAATGCTAAGAAACCGAATTGGACAAAGTTTGACAAATTTGATAAACATCCACACACTTATTCTGATAAAAAGCATCGCCTTAAACACTAATCTAAGCAAATCATACTTATTTTCAGTTGTGTTGGTTTATCTGTCTTTGTTAATATGTAAGTAAGAACATGTGAGCTAATATGGTCAATACAGAGATGAAATCTTCCTATACAGATATGTAATCTTCCTGCCCAAAGCTGAGTCCATATGGTTTGACATGGTCTAAATTTCAATTCAATTTAATCTAAAACCAAGCACACCAAATTCAAAATTTTTCAGGTCAGACTAATGTGGTATAGAAAACGGGACAACCAACACTGCAACAGAGATTAAGATTTCAGCACAAGGTAAAAAGGAAGAAAGATGTCAGAACTATAAACTACATGAAGCTGATTCCCGTAGGCCTTAAACCACACATGAAGCAAACAAATAATCTGTATTGGTTTAATATAAAGGCTAGAGTAGAATGGTTTGCAGTGTTTTGAATTCAATATTGTTACAGCATACCTCGACAGTTGGGATCTGCACCATAGTCTAGCAAGAGAAGTACGCAATTCTCACTTCCTTTTGAAGCTGCCAGATGCTGTGTCAAATCAATTATGCTATTTAACTGAAGTTTATTATTTACAAGGATAAAAAAATGAATTGAAATCATTGCAAAGATTTATAGAGTAAAACCAAAGCTGTGTGGCTGTTGCTATCAGATTCACTTGGATCTAAACCACGCTTAAGAAGCTGATGCAACAACAGATCATCTCCTCTGATGACAGCAAAACAAAGAGAAAGGGGCAAGTCCATTCTTCCCCGAGCTAATGTGTTCTCAGTCTCTCTCAAAACTCCCTCCATGATGGGGTCCTTCTGCTCTTTCAAGTGCTGTAAACCCAAATGAAAAGCAGATAGCAGTCAATCAGGGTATAAACTATCCTGGCAAATGATCTCAGGTTCTCTACTACATAAGAATATAATTAGAATATAACTTTTTTTTTGCAGTAATTCATATCAATAATCCAGTACAAAGGCTAACCTGAAGAAGATTGTTCATTATTATGGTCCCGTCTCCAACATTTGCCTGCACAATACTAAGGAATGAAGTGCGGTTCAACCGCAACAACTGACACAGTTTTTTGGTTCGAACTGTAAATAACTGAGGCCTGTAACAAAGTACTCCAATCTCTCCAAAAAGCTCGCCCGTCTTTGCCTCTCCAACAACCTGTAAATATGAAATTTTGTAAGAGTATTCTAAATCATTGTGATCATTTATAGTATAAAAATTATGAGTATCTGTCAAAATTTTCAAATTAGCTGATAATTGCCTGCTCAATTCCACCTTTGTGATCTATCAGGTCCTGCAAAGATGATCAATGTCTCAATCATACTGAGATTAGACACATAAAGGAGATATAAAAAAGTGTTTGAATTAAAAATTTTCAGTGCAGGAAGCTTACAACACTGCCCATAACCAGTATGTAAAAATCAGATGGTGCTTCATTCTGTAGGATCACATCCTCCCTTGGGGGAAAATATTCAGCTTTCATTTCTGACACCTTAAACAAGCATGATTACAAAACAGAACGCTTGAGGAACCGTAACTGATATGATAAGAGTCTTAAAATCATAATGAAGAAATTACCAATTGGAAAAGCAAATCGTTAGAAACCCCTTGGAATAGATAGACCTTCTGAACTAGATTATAGAAAAGATAATGAGATATGCTGGATCGGATTGCTTTTGGAAGCGCATCAAGGGTCTCCTGTTGTTGAAGCCCCTCTGAATCTGTCCTATACTTCAGACAAAGGTGTGCAACCATTTGCTCTTGAAGACGCAGTGGAAGCTGGTTTCTCTGTGCAAACCCCGAAGCGGCTTGAATTGTGTCCCTCTAGAGTATTTGAAGTTCGTCAAAAAGTAAATACAAATAAAATGTCAAATCAACTCAGTCAACATGAAAATAAGCTAAGATAACTCACAAACTTTCTAGTTCTGCTGGTTCCATGAACAACCAAATTAGTCATATTTCCAATTAGATATGCTGTTAGGCCCAGATTGAAAAGCATATATATGATATCAAAGACCATCTCCCTAGTGTTTTGAGCATGCAGGTCTCCATATCCCACAGTTGTAAGAGTAGTGATTGACCAATACATTGATGTAACATACCGGATCCACAGGCTTTTTTCATGAAAATCTGGCATGGTAGCACCAATCCAAGTAAGTCTAGGGTACGGATACCTGGCTGCAAGAAGATAATAGAAGCATCCAGCACAATGGACAGCAAAAAGGGTGACCTATGAATCAAATATATTAAATGTGAGATTAGTGAATAAACATAACAAAGCATTAGAATAGATATATCCTTAATAACTCACACAAATGAGCTTTATACAGCGGACCCAGAAGTAGTTGAAGTGCCTGTCTTTCTCCAAGCTGAAATTTTGAATAGAAGAACACATAATTTAGCGGGTGACAAAAACAAAGAGTTTATTTTAAATCAAAGCGTAAGAATTTTCCATTATATTTCCCTCGGGTAGAAACCATTCGCCAAGTCAAAACGCATGCACTACTATTAAGTAATTTCCCAGCATGTTTCCATGGCTAAATAGAAGAGAGAAGATTTTGCAGATACTAGCCAAACTTCTCGAATATTATGCCAGGGGAACCAGAATCAAAAATAGAAAGAATCTGACAGGATTACTGATGAATCAATCAAAACCAACCATGCTATAACATAAGCAGAATGATTGAGAGAACAGAAAAATAAGAAATCATACCGAGCAAACAATGAACTGACTCTTCTTAGTCGCCAAAGCCGAAGCATGTTAAAGAACCCATAGGACTGGAGCTTCTCTGGAAGTATCTTTCGAGCGATTTCTGATGGGATGGTGGAAATAACATCCAGAATAAACCAGCTGATCAAGTACTTACGCGCAATCTTACCGGGATTGTCAACAAGAAGATAGGTTGTTTTTTCAAGGTAGGCTACAAAGAAAGTCAAGATAATATCGATCGCAAAGAATCCATTAACGATGTTATCAACAATAGACAGGGTTCCTACTGTCTTTGTGAGGAAACCAAACTCAAATGGAGAAACCCAAGCAGTATAGACCACCAAAATAATCAGAAAAGTCTCCCAAGCCCTGCAAAAGTAATAAAAATTTGATATTAATGTGTATCTAGCATAAGGCTAATTATGATGATGGTAGAACACAACAACAATTGCTTTTATATTACTAACAGAAATTAATGGTTACAGAAAGCACCCTTTTGTCATCAACTCCAATCGAGTTATGGAAATTCATATTCTTTAATCTCAAATAAGTTCTTTGGGAAGGTTTGATCATTCCAAAAACAAAAAAGAAGAAGAGAACAAATACCGGTATCTTTTGTCATAAGGCGATATAATGAAGCGCCTGAGCTTTACTCTGCGGTTTCCCCTAGACCCAAGCGCCGGAAGTACGCCGTTGATGCTGTAATGGCTTCCATCCATGGAGATCACATTCGCTTGACGTCCACACATCGCCTTCATATTGATACCCCCTATACTCGCGTATTCCATCTCCTCTCCTTTCTTATACCAATCTTCTTTCCACTAAAACAAAATACAAAAAGAAACATGAGCTTCAAAAGAGCCCATTTCTTACAGTTCTAGCCATTGCCAAACGAAACCCTGACGCCCCAGATTGAAAACCCAACGCTTACATGTGATTACGGATCGCTTTCGAACATTACCTCGTCTTTCTGTTTCTCTTGGCTTTTAGGACAACGACCTGTTGTTCTTCAAAATGAAACCCTAGAGAAATATAAAAATGGCCGATCGGATGATGGCAGGGCCTAAAACCCTAGCCTGGCTTCTCTCTCCCGCTTCCCTTTCGCTCCCCGTGATGTCGAGAGGTCGGGCATCTATATCTATAAGTAGCTTTTTTTGGGCGACGTCAAACGAAACCAGAAATCATCGCCGTATTTGATTTTTTATATCCGTTACATAGCCCATTGGCAGGGACGGTGCAGACAGGGCTGTCCTCATTATGAAGTCAAAAAGTTATTTGTATTTAATATATCATTATTGACCAACAATACAAAATTTAAAAATAGAGCACTTACTTTTTATTATTAATGGTTATATTTAAATATTTTAGTGGTGACATTAAAAATAATACTTAATTTTTATTTAATTAAAAAAATAAGTGTTTAGTATAACCTCTTTCAAATTTGGGTTAATTGAAGTTTGTCATAAAAGTTCCAATTACATGTCAGGATTGCCCCAAAAATGAGAGTCCATAAATTCAAAATACAACCTGATATATCATAATACGAAGTAAGCTCATTAATATATATGCTTAGAGGTTAAACACAATATTCTCATTATAGGACGGGTTATTTGATGCCAAATAATGAGAAGTATATATTGTATACTAAATCCTTAACAAATTTTTTAACTATAGGATTATACATTTTGGACGATAAAAATTTTGATTTTCATGTATCAGTGTGTCACGACCTAAATCCTCGAGATGCTTCTCTGAAAGGTTTGAATAATGCTTCAATAATGTCACTAGTGTTGATTACTCTTTTTCTTAAAAATGAGACCAATCTTTTGCACTCCAATCTTTACAAATTTTAAACAATCTCTCAAATGCTTGGAATGATGAAAAACCAAAAATTTGAGAAGCAATAGTACTTAACTTCAATCTTATCAAATATAAAATAAAAATACTACTCATTGTTTTTATATAATTAACACTGAGTCCATTTGTGAAGGAAAATCTTGAAGATTTTCTTTTGGGTCCTCAACTTGCAAGATGATATTTCATTTCACAGAAATTACTTACCTCAATGGGAGTCTAACAATCACTAGGTCTATAAATTTCTAAAGAAAACTTTAATTCATAATATTTTGAATTTAAGATCAAACTTGAACGAAATTAAACTCAATTAAACTTCAAAAACTCAAACATCATCTTTATTACAATCAAATTGAAAATAATCTAAATTTGAACCTTTGGAATAAACACTTGGTTAGAACTTTAAAAAAAAATTAAAACTTTCTAACTTTTCAATAGTTCATACTTTGTCCTTAGACTGTTCTGGTTGTTATTGGGCAAGGTGATTTCCTCTATGGTGTCCTATATCTAATACAACTAGGAAAGCATGAAAAACCTTTTAAAACAAATAAAATCAAACTTTCAAATTAAAAAAAAAAATTAAACCTTTCAAAAATTGAAGTCAAACTTTTCAATCAAAAATAAACATTTCAAACAAAATCCTTCAAACAATTCTCAAAAGAACCTTTCAAACCAAACTCGTCAATTGTCTTAGGTATGGGAAAAATCATCAATTATCTCAGGAGCAGAAAAACTCATCAAAATAAGAACTTCAAAATAAACTTTTAGATGAAACATTTTGAAACAAACTTCAAACAACAAAATAAATTTTAGACAATAAAATAAACGTTGAAACAATCTTTAAACAAGCCTTCAAATTATCAAACAGTCTTTAAGTAAATCTTCAAACTATTAAATAATCAAACAAGCCTTTAAAAAAATTAAGGAAATAATGAGTATCATTTTTATTGTCTCTCGAATGGATGTGAGTTCACATGTGCTTTCTATCTTAATCAAATCATCTTTTTCTTCTTTTAAGTTGAATATGAATCCAGATGTGCTTCACCTAAAGTGTTCAAGTAACTTCCAAATCAATCAATTAAACAAATAAATAACCAATTAATGAATGAATTCTCTCTTGATTAGCTCTCAATTTGAATGTAAATTCATTTGGTGTTCTATCTTGATCTAATTAATTCGTTAACCTCTTTAGTTGAATGTGAGTATGTGTGATTTTTCAGCCTTATATGTTTAGGAGAATGAAATTGAATCTCTCTAACACTTGAGACTTGAATTTTAATCCCCCCCATCCTTGGACTTTTAATCTTAAAGACACAAAGATTAGCATCACTGTCTTGAAACTTTTGAACTTTTTTTGGTATATAGGACATGAAGCTTAAATGTAACATCCTCAGATTTCTCATCTTGAGACATGAAGGGTAACTGCACCATCTTTAGGCTTTCAAACTTCTTTCCAGCCTGTAGGACATGAATCTTAATTGTATCATCCCTAAGACTTTTTTGTCTTAAAGACACGAAGTGTAACTACACAGTCTTTAGATTTTCAAACTACTTTCTTGTTAGTAAGACACGAAGCTTAATTGCACCGTCCTTAGACTTTTTTTTCTTGAAGACACGAAGCTTAACAACACCTTCACTAGACTTTTAAAGTCTATTTGTTCTATAGGACACATTGCTTGAATGCAAAATCCTCAAATTTCTTGCCTCGAAGACATGAAGTGCTATTACACCATCTTTAGACTTTCAAATTTCTTTCCGTCGATAGGACATGAAGCTTAATTCTACTATCATTATTATCTTTTCCTTAAGAACATGAAACTTAATTTTACCATCCTTACATTTTTTTACCCTAAAAAAATGAATTGTAATCGCACTGTTTTTTGGGTTTTCAAATTCTTTTCATTTGATAAGATATAAAAATTTAATTTTACTGTCTTTATTCTCTTTGCCTTAAGGACACGAAGCATAATTGTAACATCTTTAGGCTTTCAAACTCTTTTTAGCAATTGAATACAAAGCTTAATTACACCGTCCTTTTTTTCTTTGCCATAAAAATATGAAGCATAATTGTACCATCTTTAGGCTTTTGAACTCTTTTAATTTAATAAGAAGCAAAATTTAATTGCACCTTAATTATTATCTTCACCTTAAAGACACGAAGTGTAATTGAATCATCATTATGTCCTTTTGTGAATCTTATCAGTCTTTAGTATTCTATGCTTCACTATGTCATCCTTAAATTTCTCTCATTATCTTTGTTTGGACAGAAATAAATTCTTTTCCTAATATTCTAACTCTTTTGGATAATGTCCTCGACTCCTAAACAAGAATCTCCAATGAAACTCAATTTTTAAAATACCCAGAAACAAATTCTCAAATTCTTAAAATAACTTAAATTAATGTTCAAATCTAAATTGGAATTTTAATCCTCAAATTATTTCTTAAAATGGAAGCACTGAAGTTAAACAACAATATTTTCACTCATAGTTAACGCCAATATGTGTTATACTTTGAATAGTCTGTCACACATTATTGGGGGTCCATTTGTTGGCCTCCTTTTTTGTCAACCCTATTTTCCTAGCTTAAACTTAACTGGACTTCAATTTATCTTTGTCTTAAGTAAATCTTAATTTAATAAAACTGAATTTTAACTTGATTCAAATCAAAATTAATCAAAACAATCTTCAAGACAATTAATTGAAACCAAACCCAAAGATAACAAAGAATAACAACCTTAATCACTGAAACCCTTAGATTATCATTTTTTCTCCCCAGATCATTGTAGGACTAACTTTTCATTTTGAAAGTTGCATGAGACTTATTACCATATATAAATATCATGCAAATAAGTTTAACTATCATTTGGAATAATGTTTTATGTAATACTCTTTAATTCAATTTTTCATGCATGATTATTACATCGCAAACACTAAAATTATTTCTCTACAAACCAATCTGATGATCCAAATTACACTTTGTAAGTTGCATGATCTTCATAATCACATATGAAGACCATTCAAACTAGTTTGGTGGTTACCAAACACTGATTTTATATAAAATCGTTCACTTAGGGTTTCCCTTCATAAAAAGTGATCCCACATAAAAAATTTTCAACAATTTATTATTTTAAAAATGAAGTTCATCATTACATCCATATGATCGAAACCTTTTGAATGTGTCCCTCTCCTAAATTTGAATTTGTTTGAGGCCCATTGAATCGAAGATAACCAGGAAAGATAAAAATGGTAATTTTAATAATAAAATGATAATTTGACTATAACCACCTCAAAAGGACTTCAAATCAAGTTGGGACCTCAACTAAATTTATTTTAAACTTAAAAACACAATGTGTACCAATAAATTTGATTAAAAATTCAAACTTAAAATTCAACATTTTCTTAGGGTTTAGGCCCACTTTGATTAATAATATCATTACATAGAGCTTGATTTGGCCAAAATCACTTGCACCATTAAATTCCTTATATTTTTCTCTATCAAATTAGCTGAATTAAATTTTGAGTATAACCAACTCTCATCACCTTGTAATCACCTCCCAACCACCTAAATTCTTTAAATGTCCAAAACTTGAGCTAGGAACCTCCTTCTTTAAAACTATTTGGGCTGTTGGATTCCTTGTCTTCAAAGTTATGTGTTAATCTTTAAAATCTACCAACAATTTTAAAAATTCTACATGTATTAGTTTTTAAAATTCCTCATCAAATTTAGAAAGTACTCCATTTATTTTTAATGTAATGTGATAATTTCAAAAAATTCACCATCAATTTTTCAAAATATTTTATGTTTTCTCAAATTCATTTGTTTATGTTGAAAGTTTACCATGAAATTATTAAATTCCCTATGTTATTATCATGTTATCACGTTAATTTTAGAAATTCTAAATCAAATGTTAGTCTTTATGTAGAAAAGCATATGGTTTTTGTTCTTTTCATGTCCTATATACAATATGTTACATTTTGCATGATGAATTCATTTGGCTTTTATTGTAAATGCATTGTATTATGTTTGTATAGTTTTAGTGTATGCAATTAGCACACTTTCCTTCCCTTTCCTATCAAAACCTAGAACTCTAAATTCAAATCCTCCATAAATTGAAAGCATAAACTCGTTTTTCTAAATCGTGAGCCTTAAGCCACTAATTTTCTTAAACCACGGGTTTAAACACATAATTACATCTAAACCATGAGCCTTAAGGCACAAATTCCCTAAAATTGTGAGTCTAACCCTAGGTTCTCCCAAATCTATGAGCATAGACATTTTTCTTTACATATATGTTTGAACCCAATAATTTAGATAAATTTAGTGTCAAACAAGAGCTATCCTTTTCCTTATCCCCTTCCGATAGTCTAAAGAAATTCTGT